AGTGCTTGGTGAAATCGTTCGTATTTCCCTTAAATTCATTCCATGATGCCTGTGGCTGGCTTGTAACAGCGCTCTGGCACAGATATTCTACACATACAAGATGGCCTTTCTCGAATTTGAAGGCAGATCCCTTCCCGCTAATCATACATTTCATCCAATAACTTTCAATCCGTTCCAACGGCATGTCATGGCCCCTTGACTTCATCTGCGCTATCCGTGTTCAAATCGCTTGTGCTACCTCTGCGGAGGGATAAGATGCTCTTGCTCGCTAGTTCGTCAGCAGTGCGTTCCGCCGCCCGCCATCTCGTCACCGCTTGCTCGACATCTTCGAACATCTCCAGAGTGTCTTTGATGATTCCTCCTTCATCCGGCTCGGGGACTTGCGTGCTTTCTCGTGACCCACTATCGCTGATCATCGGGAAGGCAGGGCCGAACCCACGTTGCGGAATGGGATTGAACATGACGGCGTTAGCGAACATACGAATCAGTTCTTTCTCCAGCTGTGCCGAGTTGACAATTGCCTTGGGAGGAATCACGTCTTCAGTCTTTGGTAGCACTAGAACAGCGTTCTTGGAAGTCGTGCCTGCATTGGGAGCCGGGGACTCTCCATCTGCAGCGGGCGTGCTGGCAGCTTCTGTAGCTGCAGCCACAGCTCTACTGCCTTGATGGATGGACGACTTGATCGATTTCAAATCTTGCGGTCGATATATGAGATCCCGATACCCAGGTGCGTCCCGCTCAGCCAGCGGCTTCGCAAATATTGAGGCATGCTTGTGCATGGTCACATCATTCATTATGGGTGCTCCGGTTCTGGGAAAGTTACGAGGACACAACACGAACGATGCGGACTGTGTCAATTCCGGCCGGCTAGGCTCAGTCGGTACTGGCTCTGGCTCTGGGGCGTCACTGATCCCCCGCTTGCGTTTCGGCCTCCCTCTCCCTGGACGCTCTTCGGTCTGAGGCAAAGCGGCAGCGCCTTTTCGGGCCCCACTGGCACGACTCTCCAATTCAGATGTCTCTGGGATATTGGCCGGTGTGCCAGGCAACTCATGCTTGATCTTTCCAATAGGCCCGTTTCCCGCCTCGGCGACGGATTCCTCGTCGCGAGATACTACGGACCTTCCCCGGCTTCTTGAGGAGGTAGTGCTTCGATCCCGTTTCTTTCCCGCAGCGGCCCCTGTGGCTTTTTCTACTTTGGCTTTCAGCCGCCCTTTAGGTTCAACATCTTGCAGCAGGCTGGTTTCCTGGATTGCTCTCGCCCCCTTTTCTTCAATGGCTCGGCGTTTGTTTCGGCGGCCTGCTGTTTCTTCTGGAAGTGGCTCAGAAAACTCAATTGGCGACGGTGCCCTTTCGCTAATAGGGCTGACATCCTCTGACCGAGGTCGAATCGGTGATCTGGGCGACAAGGGAATGCTAAGGCGAGGTGTCTTCTTCCAAGGTGTAGAAGATCTCGTATCGACGGAGAGCTGAGGGCGATGGACATTTTGCGCTTCCGAAAGCAACCCTTGCGCTGCTCCGACAGGCGTCTGGTAACCCCGAGCATGGCCGTTGATAGCTGTCGGTGCCGAAGCAGGTACTGGCGTAGAAGGTACAGGCGTTTGGGGTGTGGCTTGAATTGGCTTTTCAGGCTCCGGTTTCGGTGTCTGTTGGAGAGGGTTGGCGGATGGTCTCCCCACCATAGCACGCTTATCTGCCTGTTGTTGCGGGTAGGTAAAGGGCGGTGGCTGCGGGGTCTGAGATGGCTGATGTAAGGACCACTGCTGAATTATTGGCTGGGGTGTGGGAGGGTGAGGTGCTGAGACAGATGTGGCAGCTGAAGCACCCTTTTTGCCTGCAGGTCTGGCTGCTGAAGCTGGTGATGGAGCAGGAACAGGAGCAGGTTCGTGAACGTCATGCTGAGCTTGCAAGGTCGCCGCGGTAAAAGTTGGCAAATTGCCCGGGTTCGGAGTTTGGGTAGCGGCGGGCTGCTGCGAAGGTATAGCAGGCTCATTCTTCGCCTTTTGCGCCGAAGACACGGTTGGAGGCACGTTGGCAGGTGCTTGTTGAACTGCCGAGGGTGCCTGACCATCAACCAGTTGTGGTTGTGATGGTAATCCAGCATGCTTGTGCGGGAAAAGTTGAGCATGAGGCGGTTGCGGTTGCTGCTGCACCACTCGGAGCTGTTCTTCACGCGGTTGAGCTGGCGGTTGAGTAGGTAGCACCTGAGGTTGTTGTGCCGCTGCGGCCGCTGTCGACGGCGCGGTCGGTTGCGCTAGCTCTTCTTGCGGTTGAGAGGGTACAATATCCTTGCGCTGCGATTCCTGCTCTATTTGCTTGACTTCGGAATCCAACGGTAGCTGGACTGCAGGTTGGCTGGGTTTCTGCCGAAGTTGCTGAGCGGGCTTTTCCTCCTTCACATCCAATTCCATGGGCTCCGGCGCAAAGTCTTGTTTTGATTGTGATCCTCGTACTGTGGATGCCTGTACAGACGTCGGCGCAGGTGCTGGCTGTGAGGTTTTCTGACGCTCCTCCTTCTGTAGCCTTTCAATTTCATCATTGATTTCTTTATATCTCCTCTCCTCATTCCGAATCTCTCTAGTCGCGAGTTCCTTGTATCTGGCATATAGATGAGACACTAACTCGGGAAGAAAGCTAGCATGGCTTCTTCCCTTATCCACTAAGACCTCCGGACGTGGACTCGCGATCTTACGTTTCAGAGGGTTAGTAGGTTGCGCGCCTTCGGGATGTACACCATTTTGTTCGGGAAGTGGGACGGCTCCGGCGCCATCTAGTCCATCTCGCATCAAGGTCGTGTACAACTCCTCGAGCGCCTCCGGGCTGAGCCTGTCCGCATTGAATGCGACATTCTCGCGAACGAACGTATTGTTACGTAGAATATCGGATATGGATGCGAAGTTGATAGGACGGGTACCCAAGGTGGCGAGAGACTGGAAGAAGAGGAGAGATTCAAAAGGAGTGTAAGCTGACAGAGGAGGCATCCCCCATTGCCCGTTTAGTCGGCCACTGGGGGAGAAAGATTTAGAGATGGGGGCCACGGTGATGGACGATGTCGGCGGTTGGCCCGATGGACCCGGATCCTCGAATCAACCAAACCACGAGAGAACGCGACCACGATTGGTGCGGCTAGCGGTTTAGACCATTAGTGCAGAAAACCGCAGGGAGGAAAATCTTGAAAGGGAGGCAGTGTCCAGAAACCGACAAAAAGCGAGCCGGTAAAAATAGGGGGAAAATTAATGCTTTGGAATTAGAGAAAAATTTCACTTGAAAGGGTGTATTTGATGAAAAGGACGAATTCTTGATGGATTAAGAATATGGTGATGAACACGTTGCTGGGTGCAGAGGGATGAGCTACTGCTATGACAAGACTGTCTCTGGTGGTCTCTCTGCTTCCTTCCAGAGAGGGAAAATTTGACAAAGGACCCCGACCGCCCAACAGAGGGGCTAGATCACGTGATTAATTCCACTGATCGACATGCCCAAAATTATCTATGTGGAATTCTGGTATGCAATAATAATGGTTGATGTAATTACTTGACAGTACGGCCTCCTGTACCTTAGGTAAGGCACCTCCTTTTCAGGGGTCCCATTTCAGATGAAGCACCTTGGCGATGACACTACTTTATCTTGCAGCATGACGACAATGCATGTCATTATATTATCTATATCCATACCATGCGAGGTGTTGTAGGTCCACCCATTGGCATTAATCAGCCATAGTGATCCTGGAGAATGAGAGTCCACGATTAGAGTCACGCATTGGCATGCTAGTTGAGAATTCAAACTTTCAGTCTCCCCCACCCGGCAGCCATTCAGAGGACTCAAGAGGTGCTTTGACCACTAACGAGTACATCATTACCGACGAGGAAAGGAGCAGGGGCTGAGATACCTATGGAGAACCTTGCCTCTATTACTACTGGAGAATTACCTGGGATATCATTGTATGACGTCTGCCATTGGGACTTTGATATCGGATGATAGAAATGCTGCGACTTTACATGACTATTACAAAGGTACATGCCTTAAAATGACAATACCCCACATCGTCAGGGGCTTCTCTCAACTAGGCAACTCATAGGTCAGCCCAGGTAGCAAGTTCAGAACCCCCTTTCTCGAAGCTCCTTGTCCAATTGTGGGAAGCTGATAGTGGCATTGCAGTGCGCGCTTCCCAAGTTGCGTAAATGGCTGATTGAGTAACAACAGAGTTCTCGTCTCATTGGGACCTGTGGCATCTCCAAACATGAGAAGGTCAGGAAGTATAAACAATGGCAGTTCCTGCAGTGGCGGATAGTGGACACCAAAATGGAGCTTTTAATCTCCCCATAATTTTAGATTCGACGACCTTTTGTATGGAGAAATATCTAATTACTACAGACACAAAAGAAAAGGAGACAGGAGAAATAGCAGTAGACGACCTAACCAGGCACTGTAGCGCAACAACTTACTAAGTACTACTGATCAACCTGTACTATCTCTTATTATTTTTTCATCTTCTTGTTTGTTTCCAATTCCCTCCCTTTCTCATCAATTCTGCTTTGGCCTTTGGTACTCCTGCTGCGATAGCCGAACACCTGCTTGTTGCGCCTTGCAACACTCCGACCGTGCACCATCGCCCCGATAGCCTCCTCGTTGCTGCTCTTCTGCTCGGTTCGCAGAGCGGTTCCTCCCCTTGTGGTCTATAGGAGTGGCAGCATATCCAGCAATCAGTCCCGTCCGTCCATCAAGCTTTATAATAGATTCTCAGCCGGTCCTGGTCTCATGCTACTATATTAATCTCGCTTTAGTTCTTATTTCTTTTAATTTTACCTTTTTGCTTGATAGACCGATAGCATTAATCCACCCCTTCCCCTCCTGACGCACGCTCAAACACCCGTCTCCTCCTTAACTGAACAAAGACAACCAACCGATCTGACAGCGTCTATACTCTTTATCTTTCTCGACCAGATTGTACTTTCGTACCGCATCTGATCTCAGATAATCGACCCTGTTGATAATAGGGCAACATGTCGGACATGGAGCAGGAATGGAAACCAAAGGGTCGCCCACAGTCGTTCGTCTTCCCGTTTGCGCCCTCTCCGATATCAAAACGTTGGCGTTGACCAAGACATGGCAGGACCATGGCTCAGGCCTTTTCCTCAACGCTGGATAGCGTCTTCGCACTGGACTCGGATGTTGATCACCTTTCGCAGACTATAGATCAGAAGTAAGTTCTCATTCGAGGCTCGTTCGCTGTATGACGAGATAGTTGGGTTGACTAATGGTCCTGGTACCTCAGGAGATTTCAAATGATCATACAAACGAGAGAGTTGGAGGAACTGCAGGCCAAGATCCGCGAGACCGAGCGACGTCTGAAAGCTCGTCAATCACTCATCGTGGATGGAAACGGCTCCGGAAACAGCGCAGGCGCATCGAAGGTGGAGAACGAATACCGGACAGCAGGTAAGGAAACTGAAACTGACGGTCTTCTACCGGTATGTGTATGAGTGCGGCTCACAAGGTCTCGTCCGAAACATAGAGTCCTCCACTTCGACCGCGACATCTCCCACAGATTCAGCGGGGCAGTACTCCAGCAGTGACGAACAGCGAGACCAAGACCGAAGCCGCAACTCGTGATCGAACTTTGCGGAATCAAGACTGGTCTCGGCCAGTTTGTATGGGTAACGAATGCGGTTTCAGTGAAATGAATTTACTCTTTTCTTCACCTACCTTTCAAGGGACATGGTTGAGAGCATCAAGTTTGCTGGTGTCTTCTCTTCCCATTCTTATCGTCTTCCAGCGACATGTATACCAGATCATGGACGATGCCGGAACTTCTTTTGTCCAGATTGCCATGAGCTTCTGGAGAGCATCGCAGCCACTGGCATACTTGGTCAAATCTGTGCATGCATGTATATGCCGTGCGGCAATCCTCCCCACCTGGAGACTCGTGTTCACTTTGTTGTGGCATACAATGTGTTTATCGTTTACTACCACTTAATCATAATTTTTGTCATGCTGAGAAGACATCTTTCTTTGCAATTCTTAGCAGGGGTCGACTTTCAAATGTTATTTATTAAATAGATGAGGGGAGAGGAATAGTGAGTGTCTCGGTTTGACTCTATTTCTAGGGGAATCCTGCATGAGCAGGCGAAGGGTCCGTTGCACTTTTAGATACAGCACTTTATGGGCGTTCGATCAGTCTGCCACTGTCCCAGTTGTATGAAATAATTCTTCCTTTTTCGGCTTCACCTAAAGAAATCTACTATAGCCTTCTGCCAGACTTGAAAGCGAATAGCAGAATAACCTCAAACACAAGCATATAATCTACATGAGATCCACTTGCTTATCACAAATCTGGGATCTACTAACTCCGTACCTTTAACTTGTTCCTTTCTCGTACGAATCGCTTGCCATCTGGCATTTCCACTCTCAGCGACGAAAAGTGGTAGGGGTACGCCACTTCCTTGATTCGTTTCCTTGCAGCCAAACTGATGTTTCCTGAATAGAAGGCTGCTGGAGAGCTTTGCACCATTTAGCATAGTATAATGCGCTTCTTGAACATTATTCATTCCCAGGAAAATTCCCAAGTCAGGGGGCTGCATTCTGTAGTTGTAACTCAATGGATGCAATACAGCGGACGCGAGGCTAGGCTATTGCAATTTTTATGCCAATCAAACTTTAAATGCATGCGATTCTGATCCTGGCATCTCTGTTAGAATACAGGTAGCTTGCTTGCTGCAATTGGAAGATACGCAGGAATTGGTCGTTACGCGGTGGAAATGTCTGCGAACCTGAGAGATGTTCCCATGTGGCATTTGACCTCCAATACCCATTGATCTCTTACGGTATCAACTAAGTCAATTCGAGTAGATGCATTATGACGGAGATGAATATTTAGTCATATCTACTTCTAATCATTAACAAATATGCACTACTATATCCAGCTAACGCTGCATACATTTTCCTACTCTGCTTGGCCGTCGATGATGTCAGATCTGGCCCTTACTTGTACCCCTCTGAATGCTCCACCTTCACAGCTAACAAACCTTGGAAACCCCCAGCAATCCAGAAAGATGCACCGAGCGACGAGTCCAGACTACTCTAGTTATCAATTTCTGATAAGCCGCTGCGGTCATCGGACAAATCAGGTTCCCTCGGTCCCTCAGTTCTTGTCAATCTGTCTTGCTGAGCTGTACATGCAGTGAAGCTCAGAAAAAAGTAGCTAGAGTCCTCCCGCATCCAATGTAACTACACCCAAGGTCAAGGAACAGAGCTTGCCCTGTCGGCTAGTTCTTGGTAGTAGTAGTAGTATTATTATTATTATCTGGCGTGCCCGCACACTCGCTCTTCACCCATCTCTCTTCTAATTTTCTGTCTCAATTACTTACGTTTTCCCTTCTCCCTCCTAGATTTCTCCGGAGTATCGATCTCCGGTTTATCTGACCATGGTTTTGATTGACAAGCAAGAGTACCTCACCAAAGAGGAACAGCGTCTCAAGGAGGATCGTGAACGGACCAGATACTGGAAGAAATGGGGTCCTTATGTCGCAGAGAGACAATGGGCCACAGGTGAGTTCGCATTCTATTCATGAGTCGCTTTTCGCGGCATCACTGGTAATTTGGAGCTTGCCCGCTGATAATCTCATCCCCGGCCGTCTGCAGTCCGAGAGGATTATTCGTAAGTACTTCTCCTCCTTCAGAGTCTTGGACATTATGATTATTGTGTCCAATGCAATGCTTTTTTACAATTGCTGACGAATTATCAGTGAAAATGGAGACGCATGGAGTTGTAAGTCCATCTTATCCATATGTGAATTGCGCGGGGCTGATCGACGTACCTGTTACGCTTAGATTTTTCCCACGATCACTCCCGGTCAAGAACATATCGGTGGGGCGAGGATGGGATTGCTGGTGTCTCGGATACCCATGGCTTAGAAAATATCGCTTTTGCCTTTTGGAATGAGAAAGAGTATGCCCACGCTCTCTGGATATGCGATCTGAACGGAGTTCTGACATTGACTGTTGAACAGCGACTTCTTGAAAGAGCGCCTGTTTGGATTGTCGAATCCTCAGGGAAATCATGGTGAGAGCATCAAGGAAGCTCACTTTCACCTGGATAATACCCCAACCGTGAGCAACTCCTGTCGGCTGCTTAACTATCCGTCGCATTGACATGCGTGTTTCTAGCATTCGTACATGAAATACCTCTACAAGTACCCTCAGAAGAAATTCCCCTACCAGGATTTGATCGATGAAAATGCGCGGCGTTCAAGACAGGACCGTGAGTACCAGCTTCTCGACACCGGCGCATTCGAGGATAACCGCTACTGGGATATCTTCATTGAGACCGCCAAGGAGGGGGACGATGAGGAGGAACTCATGTTCCGTGTCATTGCCTACAACAGAGGTCCCGAACCCGCGCCGTTGCACATAGTCCCTCATGTCTGGTTCCGAAACACCTGGTCTTGGGGGTATGAGAATGAGAAGGAGAAACCCTCAATTGAGAAAGTGTCGCCGCTTACAGCAAAAACCTCTCACAAGAAGCTGGGAGAGCGATACGTACGATTCTCGCCTTCTCCAGCTGTCGGCGATAGCCAGGAGGATATCGTGCCTCGTATGCTGTTCACTGAGAACGAGACAAACAACGAGCTCCTGTGGGGCACTAAGAACGACCAGCCCTACGTAAAGGATGCGTTCCATCGCCATATCGTCAACGAAGAGAAGGATGCCGTTAACCCCGCCAACAAGGGAACAAAGTTCGCCGCTTGGTATGCCTTTGACGAGGGAGACGGCATCCCTCCAGGCGAGTGCGCAGTCGTCCGCTTCAGGTTCTCCCGCAAGAACGAGCAATTCATCGACGAGGAAGTGCTGGACGATACAATCGAGCAGCGAAGGGCAGAAGCTGACGACTTTTACTACCGAATCAGCCCTCTCCCGATGAGTGACGATCTGCGGAATGTCCAAAGACAGGCCTTTGCCGGCATGATGTGGACGAAGCAATTCTACCACTTCATTTGGGACCAATGGGCGAATGGAGACCCTGGAATGATACAACCGCCCCCGGGAAGGAAGCATGTGCGCAATCAGCAATGGAAGCATCTATACATTGATGACATCTTGTCTATGCCGGACTCTTGGGAATATCCCTTTTTCGCGGCGTGGGATACAGCTTTCCACTGCATTCCGCTGGCCATGATCGATCCAGATTTCGCGAAGAAGCAGCTGGACCTGCTTACTCGTGAATGGTACATGCACCCGAATGGCCAGCTCGCGGCTTACGAATGGAACTTTGGGGACGTTAACCCTCCTGTCCATGCATGGGCCGTCTTCAGAACGTTCAAGATTGAACGGAAGATGTACGGCCGGCAGGACCTTGACTTCCTGGAGCGTGTCTTCCAGAAGCTGTTGCTGAACTTTACCTGGTGGGTCAACCGCAAGGACTCCGAAGGTAAAAATGTTTTCGAGGGCGGTTTTCTGGGTCTGGATAACATCGGACTGTTCAACCGTTCTGAGCCTCTTCCGACTGGAGGTGTCTTGGAACAGGCGGACAGTACTGGCTGGATGGCTTTCTATTGTCTATGCATGCTTAATATAGCTCTTGAATTGGCTAAGCATCGCCGAACTTACGAAGACAGTGAGTCAACGTTCTACTAGATCACGGACTTCCCACTAACTGAAGCTAGTTGCGTCCAAATTCTTTGAGCACTTCCTTCTCATTAGTGATGCTATGACTTTCAAGTCAGGAGGCAAGGAATCCTCTCTGTGGAACGAAGAAGACGGGTATGTGTCATGCAATAGTCATGAGTGGTGGGCTAGCAGCTGATCCTTCACAGCTTTTACTACGACGCGATTTCTTACGGCGAGCCATGGACACAACAGCTTCCTGTGAGGTCGCTGGTTGGCTTGATTCCTCTTTATGCGGTTCTGACGCTCGAACCTGAGCTGATTAACCAGTTCCCTTCATTCAAGAGGAGAATGGAGTGGTTCATTGAAAACAGGCAGGATGTCGCAGAAAGAAACATTGCCAGCATGAAACGGCGCGGGAAGGACGACCGACTCCTTCTGTCGCTGGTGAGTAAGGACCGTCTGGAGAAGATTCTCAAGAGGATGTTGGACGAAACCGAATTCCTGTCAGAGCACGGTGTTCGGTCTATGTCCAAGTACCATGAGAAGCACCCGTATTCCATGGACGTCAATGGGCAGACGTTCAGAGTCGGCTATGTGCCAGGTGATTCCGACAGTGGGTTGTTTGGAGGAAACAGCAACTGGCGCGGACCCGTCTGGCTGTGTGTCAACTTCTTACTTGTTGAGTCCCTTCTCAGGTTCTACATGTTTTACGGGGATTCTTTCCAGGTGGAGTGTCCCACAGGCTCGGGAGACTACATGCATCTAGGCCACGTTGCCGAGGAGATTCAGCATCGTCTGCAGCACCTCTTCGCTCGTAATGACCAGGGTCGCCGAGCTGTCAACGATGGCTCAGATCTCCTCGATTACGACGAGCACTGGAAGGACTACATGTGGTTCCACGAGTTCTTCGATGGTGACACGGGACGTGGACTGGGAGCATCCCACCAATGCGGATGGACAGGTCTCATCGCCAAGGTCATCCACGATACCGGGTAAGTTTATCTTCGAAAACCTGACTCTCCATCCATCACCAGACCCTAATTTTCTCTGCAGAATCAACTGCCGCCTCCCACACACCCCCCGCTCCCCCTTCGCCGCCGCATCGCACTACTTCGACGACATCTTCACCCGCTCAAGCCGGCCCCGTTCCAGTCGCAAGCCCAGCTTCCGGCGCTCCTCGACCACCCGCTCCATCGGCAACCGCAGCGACTTCGAATCAGCCTTTGCCGGCGCCGAGACCCCCGCCGCAGAGATCCTGTCCGAAGACGAGCATGACCGCGGAGTCCACCGCAACGGCGTGGACGAGCACGTCTCCAATTACGTCGCCAGCCAGCTGCAGCGCGTGAGAAGCTCCGCGTCCATCGCGGCCTACGAGGATGAGTTCGAGGCGCAGGCTGACCGCACTCCGAACGGTCATTAGATTTTCTATCTGTGATACATCTTTGTAAGAAGTGGGTTCTGGTAGAATCGAAGTGCGTGCGCATGTTGGCACTGCATTAAGTCGTTATACGTAGTTGATCTAACGAGGTAGAATTGCATTGCAATTTTCAATTTTTATTTCTATTTTTTATTTTTTGGGGGGGGGACATACTTGTAAGCAAAGAAGAGTCCATTTCGGTGGACCTAAACAGTGATTGTTGAAGTCTGTTGTCTGCGTGTCTATATCCTCATTCCTGTATTTGTTTCTCACAATAGGTTGCTCGCTTTTCGACAAAGAAACGGCCGGGTTACATAGCAGGGACATGGATACCGGGCTGGTTTGATAGGTACATGCCATGTTCCTCAGTTATACCGGCAGAAATCTCGCGACTACATATCCACTCCTGAGATTAGCGACTTATCGGACATCTACCAAGACACGAGGCATAGCATAGATATCTACATATTCTCACTACCTCGCCACATCTCCCCCTTCAGCTCTTGCTCTCACACTAGAAAAGTAGAAAAAAAGATGAAATATAAATACCAAAGTGAAAACGAACTCTCATCCTGTCCATTCATTGCTTTCCAGAACTCGAGAATTTGTCTCTTGGAAGCCGCGCGGACGACGCACGACTATGGGACTGTACGATACATGTCAAAGGGGAAAAATCAAATTCTAGCCTATTTTATAATCTACAGAGCATCGGTAAGGGCCTTGTTGAGCTTGGCGATCTTGGACGAGACGCTGAGGTCGATGGTGCGGTCACCGATCTCCAGGACGAGGCCGCCGACGATGTCGGAGTTGACCTGTTACACAGTCATTAGCTAGGTGGTCATGAATGATAGAAAAGAGCGGTAGGCGTACCTTAGTAACGATCTTGAGCTTCTTGCCCTGGCTGAGCTCGTGCTTGGAAACAGCCTTCTCAAGGCGGTTGATGGTCTTGTTGTCGAGTTCCTGGGAGGAAAGACTAGTGTAAGCGACAAGTTCTATGGATCATAGCAATGGCTAAAACGCACCTGGGCACTGGTGATGGTAACCTCCATCTCACCACGGTGAGCACCCATGAGGGTCTCGAACTTCTCGCAGATGCTCTCAAGGAGACCGAGACGGTTGTTCTCAGCCAGAGTCTGCAGGAAGTTCTTGATGATGTCGCCCTTGTCGTTACCGGCGATCTTCTGGAGCTCCTGGATGATCTGCTGCTTGTCGCTGGCAGTGAGGGTGGGGGCAGCGATGATGTTGGTCAGCTTGCGGTCGGCCTTGAAGGTCTGACCGAGGCTGGAGAGAGCCTTGGAGGTCTGGTCGAGAGCGGAGGACTTGGCAGAGGCAGTGTACTATTCATTGTAGCTGTTAGTTCATATTCAATGCCCCTTTAGTGACTCCTGGATGAACGATATGGGTTTTGACGCGATTTGCAGGCGGAGAGGAGGGGGAAATCGGGTCAACGGAGCGGAAAAAAAGCAGATTGTGATCCAATGCGCAGAGCATCGAAGGAGAATCCAGAGAGGAATGCGAGCCGTACCAGAGCAGTAGCATAGGTTCCATCAACGCCGAAGAGAGCCACGGGGGGCTTGACGTTCTGAGCCGGGGTAGCATAAGTCCTCAAACCGTTGAGAGCGGCAGTGCGAGGGACGGAGAACTGCTGAGTGGCACGCAGGCCAAGACGGGCGACACGAGCGGTGTTCATCGTGGCGGTGATATGAGAAGACCTCGGGGGGAGGGAGAGTGGACGGATATAGGACGTGGAAACGTCGTTTAGAGGGGTGCAATGGCCGTTGGTCTGCTGCCGGAGAGTCTCTCGCGAAGTTGAAGCGTCGTCCAACTTCTCCCGGTCCCGGTCACGTGAGTTTCCGCACACGCCGAGAATTTCGGGTTCTCTTAGTGACAGCCATCTCTCCTACAGCTGGAAATAATCAATAAAGTTGAAGACAAGTGCAAATAACATGCCCACAGAATTGGTTGACATGAATACTAATGCATACTCTTACATTGAAGAATCTCTCTCACTAAACGATGTAACAAGGACAGAAATATCTCTGCCACTCTAGGAAATGGATCTGTAAAATGCAAAACACCCTAACGCCATTATTTCCTCGACTTGCCTCCGACCGAGGAGTATTCCGACCCAGTCATCAATCATGAATCGCATTCAAAGCAGAAATCAGTCACTCCGCAGCATGCTGTCAACGAGATCTCCAAGAGGACCCCAATAATCCTTGCCGGTCGCCAGCCGATGTTCATCAACGAATAGAACATAGTGTTTGAAACTGGTATTGAGATGAGGCTCGAGTCCCAAATGCACAACCACAGGGTAGTGGTGGCAGTAGATGTGCGCATACACTCGATAAAGTCGCTTGAAGATCTGGCGAATCAAACTTGAGAATGCTTTGGGGAAGGGGACTCCTGTTATACTCGTCAGCCTGACCCCATCCTTGTCATTGAAACAGACAAAAGTGGTGTCATACCAAGCCTGCTTGGGAACATCTGTTCATTGTCGATATTACTCTGGACCCAGCTCATCAGATGTTCGATGTACTCTGGCGCGGACATCTTAGTCGGTCGCTTGAAATTCTCCGAGTCTTGCCAGAGATACTCGAACCTGTCGCATCAACATTGGTCAGCCGCAAGTCTTCAGTTTATTGTCGAAGTGAGGGACCTACTCATCGGTGGCTTTCATCTCCGGACATGACTGCGGGGAGCAGAACTCTGTGATGGCGCCGTAGAGGAGGTTGATCTGATTGTAAAAGTCGACCACTAATGCAAAGATCCACCTAATTAGCTATCCCCAAGTCACTCAGGGATTGCAATCCCTCCAGTAGACTTACCATTGACTGCAAGCCATTCATTCAGATCCTCGCCCTCAGGCAGCTTCACAGCCTTCCTCAAGCTCCCGCTCCCCAAAGTTGCCTCTGCAAACTGCCTCAGCTGATAACTGCTTGTACCCTTGGCAGCCGACCGAGGCTTAAACGGCGCCCTGGTTCGCGCATTGCTGGGAGGCGTCAGTCCACACAGATTCTGCTTGAGCGCGCGAACAGCAGGAGATAGGTAAGAAGGTGGCTCCGAAAGCGGACCACGGAAAGTATGGATGGTGCTGCATGAGATTGACGGGGTGAGGGCGGAGAGTTGGTGAGAAGGCGGGGCAGACGGAGAAGTAGATGAGGAAGAAGTAGAAGCAGAGGGAGTAAAGGGTCTAAAGGGCACGAACATGGTGGTGATAAGTGAAGCCATCCTGCCTCTGCTCTGAGACCTCAAACACCTCCTTGGACGTATTCGTTATAAAAGGATAACGGCGTTTCTTTTGATTTTTCCTGTTTCGGAGGTATGGGCTGGAAGTCTGAAAATGTGACTGATCTGCGTATGCGTTGCTGAGTGCGAAAATGCGCCTACATTCCAATGCCAGAGGTGTTAGCTATCGAGCCGTATCGGGTATTTCTGATCTCTGGAACCTCGATCTCACTAACCGGGAAGAACGACGAAAGCCAATGCTTGGGGAGATTCTGGACGGTCGGCTGAGAGGGAGGGGCAAAACGCGAGGAAATAAATGTTCGCGTTTTAGAACGCACTCAGGCACTAAGGGGGGAAGGCTAATATCTCCGATGCAGATGAAGAAGACAATAAAAAAGCAAACAAACAGATTAGCTGCAGGAAACGCGATGATCAACAAGCAAGCTTAAACCTGACGATATGACGAGTAGACTACCTTAGACCTGGACCTGGCCCTCAGCTGGCCACAAGCAGGAAATCCGATCGGATCCCACAAGCGGAGCAGTCTGACAGTCGGGATCCATGGATGCCTCAAGGGAGCAAGACGGAAGGCCCCATTGGTTGCCCCAGTGACCACCCTCATCCAAAGACTTCACTTCTCTACTTTGAGCTGTGATGTCAGACACATTTATCTACTAGGTGCAGTTTATCAGACACTAAATTTTGATATATTTGAGCGTTAAAGATCTATGAGAATATAGCATGTTGATGACCGCTACAATACGAGTATCACAAGAAAACCACGGGGAATAATCCGATTCACTCAAAGCGCAATGGGGTATGATCAACGCTCATGCAAGAAGTACATATACCTCTAGATAGAATAACCCTCGTTCTCTTCCGGGAGCCTCTCCCGAACAGTTTCCCCGTATACCGTGACGGGGATTGCGATCTCAAAGGACTCACAACCAAGGTTCTCCAGGCCGGACATAACCTGCCCACGGTCGTCCTCGGAAATCAATTCAAGCAGCCTAGCACCAGAGAGTCCTGTCCCCAGCTCATGGTGCAAGCTGGTTGTCACAAACTCGAACCGTAACTCCCACTCATGGTTGACTCCGGTGGTGATGATAGTCGGCGTTGCAGAGACGGGAACTGCAGGACTAAAAACAACTCGAGTGGAATAAAGCGTATTCTCGAAGAAGGATGCATGCACACGTCGTGTGGCTCGGTGGATGCTAGCGTTCGACCGAACGGCCAGTGAGGATGCGACCTTCTCGAACGACTCCAGTGTGGCCCGCAGGGCGTAGCATGGGAGTGCGACATCCGTGAAATTCACTGTGGCGGTGATGGTTTCGCCCAATCGATGTGCTGGCCGATTGAGCACCACCACAGCGATCCGACGCCCATTGCGGGCAATTTCAAACCGGTTGGGGCTGCGCGCCGTGCTGATTGCTTGATTGCTTCGAAGGATGGCCAAGTCAATTGCGTCTTTGCAGGAAAGCGGCCCGGCCAACGGTTCATAGCTTGAGGAGCGTCTTGCGTTGACAAGATCTGGTGGTTGCAGTAGATTGTGGCGAGATTGTTGCTCGAGTAGTTCATCTACGTAGGAAAGAAATTCTGGTGCTGAAGTCCAGACATGCCCGCTAATGCTCTTATTCTTAGACGCTGGCGGCGGCGGCGTAGAGCCTATTTTCTGGACCCTGGCTTCGTCTCGAAGAAGTACATAAGGACTCATCAGGTTATGTCCGAGTATCTCTCCTTGACCTAAGAGAAATTAGCCACAGGCGTCAAGTAAGGACAGGACGACCGATAGAACTTACTGTTAACTCCGCTGAAGACACGGAAGGGGATGGTGATGCGATTCACGCGCTGGGGTTCGTTTGACCCACTCGGCCTTTGAGTACCTATGACTAGATTATATGATATCTTGATTGCTTTGCCCTTGTGACTGGCAGGGAGTCCCTTGGGAAGAGTGAAGGAGAAAGAGTAGGACTGTTCTTCTCCTGGTGCCAGTCGCAGATCCACAAAAAGAAGGGACTGCGGAGTGGATAACAAAGGTATCGATCGTGACGAAGTAACGCCACGCATATCACGAAGACCATCGAGTTCATTGTTGGATAGAAGACCGCTTATGGACTCCTCTATCGCATTCCACTTGAAAGCACCCCAGAAGCCTCCACTTTTACGGCTTTTGTCGCTGATGGAGGCGGTTCCACCACTTAGCGTACCAGCTGCATTACCTTGACTGCCAACGACCCCTTTTCGTTTGACTTCTTCAAACGCTGCTTGATTGATTAACGAGCCATCGACGGTAAAGGATGCGCTGACTTGGGCATAGCCCATGAGGAGAGTTTGACCGTTCGATAGTCTCGGTCCCGTATCCACACTGGAGAAATGACGCGCGTGACGAGGGCCGCTCGGGCGTTGTGTATTTGCAGAGTAATTTGTGTATTCGGATTGAAGTGTCTCTGAGGAGTTGTCGCTGGCGGAGTAGAACTCGCCGCTACTCCGATGACTTCCGCTCAGGCTGGATGTCGAGATTATTCGTGTAAGCTGGGGTAGGTGACCAGGTGCAGGGATTACTGGACTTTCCTTCCCATTTGAACGTCCAGTCGACACGGAGCCGGGATCCTCATCAATGGATGTTGCCGCAGGAGAAAGGGCCGGGCGATTGCTAGGGTCGGATGTGGGAGCAGGCGGGAATTTGAAATCCATAGGCGGCAGCTGAGGCCTGCGTCCAGGTGTACGCGGTGACCCTAAAGGCTGAATGGGTCTCTGCCCGTTGGATCCGGAGCGGCTGACCCTGCTTGGCCTATCTACGTCTGGCCTCAGATTACCCGGGAATTGGCTGGTGCCAGCTTCGGAGGAAATGCCACGGACAGTATTTCGCCCAGCTAAGTAGCAGAATGCATGAGTATCATTGAGCATCAAGTCAGGTAGGGCGAGCCTCACCTTTTGCGAAGCCATCTTCATACCCCTCGTACCTTCTCGGTACGACTTGCAAGCTCGCAGAACGACCATGACCCTTCCCCGGCCGGGAACGATTGAACTGGAACGACGACCTCGGGGTTTTATCCCCAGTTCCTTCGCTTTCAATTGACAGTATAGACACGGAGCGCTTGTGCTGGTGCCCGGGGTTTTGGCTATTTCGCGGGGTGGGAGGAGGAAAGCTGTGCGAGCCGATCAACGGAGAGCTCAACGACGAGGATACTCGATGCGAAGGACTCTTCCTGGGCGCAACGGGAAAGGAGCGGCGGTGAGGACTAAACAATGAATTTTGAGGAGCTTTCAAGGAGAAGTAGGAGTCGGAGTTAGAGGCCTGCGCATTGCCAGTGCGGGACTGCTTTCGCTGATGGGAAACCTGCCCTCCATTGTTTGTCTCCACGTCTGTCTCTGCCACGTTCTTGAAGGTGATTATACATTCCACATCTTCCCCTGCAAATATAGTCTGGTCTTTCCACTTCACAAAGACCTGTATGTCCG